CCCCAAAACCCCAAAACCCCAAAACCCCTTAGTCTAAAAAGATAATTGAGATATTAAATTTCTATTAAAGAGAGTTCTTAAAAAGGGTCAAATCCATCCTGCTGCTCCATCACTTGGATATACTTTTTTGCGAGCTTAGTGATTGGGTGAGTCTTCATCTTATCAATATTCTCTGGATCCCTATATTCCAAGCATGTTCCGATGATATCTTTCTTTTTAGAAAATTCTTCAGAGGCTACTTTGAACTCATATGGCAACAAAAGATTATCGCCTGCTGTGCGATATTTAAGATGAAATCTGAATATAAGAGTCTCAAAGGGGATTCAGTCAGAAATCATTTGAATAAACTTTACTCTACTTTCTTTTGTCTTCAACCAGTTGGTCCCTAGATTGTTACATTAGAAACAAAGTTCTGTATTTGATATACTGATGAAATAGAAGACATTATGTGCTAATTATCAAAGCACTGATTGAGCAAAACTCAATGAATTTACTTACCACTTTTGGATTCATCGGGGTTTCACCATGAGACGTATTCTATCACAAATGTTTTCAAATTCGTCAACCCAGATCTCATCATTATTCTACCGTCAAAGTGCTTAAAATCCTTCATTTGAATTCTCAATATCTGATCCTCTCACTCTAAAATTTGTACTTTTCCCTTCGTTTTTCCGCTGAATAACTTTTGGTCGTACACAATACTTCTCGGCTTAACTTCAGCTGTTGCTAATACTTTCAAGAATACAGGACTCACAGCAGTCACATGCTCAATACCCCCTTCCAACTTCACAAGGATCCTCCACTGATCTTCCTCACTATAGAGCACAGATCTTATCCACTCAACATCATCATCAGAATCCAAGTCCCACACTTCTGTCCCATGTGAACACTCAAACAACTCAGACCATCAATTCCCCCCAGTCAACACCATATAATCCTCCTCTTTAAAAACCAAATTCCTCTCCTCTAACATCTATATTCCCAAACACAAAGTGATCAAACTTCATTCAGCTGAGTTCTTCCTCTCTTTTAAAATAAACCTTAACTTTTCCACATTTTAGTATATTTCTGTTGGGGTCTTTTCTTCTTGCGCAAATTTTTTGTCTAATGGTTATATTGCTCCATATTTTAGGGCTGAAAATAAGATGCTACAGTTCCATTCTCCTGGATTTGCAGCAAATCTAACATCTTCCCAAACAAGGTTAACTTGTTGTGGATCAACTCCTTCAAGAGCATTTTCTAAGGCTTTAAGATATTTTGGAGTGTTCACTAAGGTCTGAATTGAAAGAACCAAAAGTTTTGCTATAAGAAAATAAGATATGAAAAATTCCATAAGAGAATAAACCAATAAAGCTAGCTTACAAGGATCAAATGCCAGAATTCTATCGTTTGAGACAACACTTCTTACAAAAGTTGTACAGTTGAAGTTATTTTCCTATATTTGAAGTATAAAGCTGCTAAGGAGAATCATAATTTAATGTCTATTAAAATCTACTTAAAATATGAACAAATGATTTAACAGAGCATTCAAAACTCTTTAGATTAAGTTGTGCTTAAACAAATATATCCTTTGTGTAAAATACCTTCCTCTTTCTGTTCGATCTGTTCTATGGATTTTATTTTCTTTAGCTCTCTCAATGCATGATCTATTTCAGGCATGTCCATCTTATATTTTGGATCGTAGTAGACCCTGCCTCTTGAAGCAAACTCTAATTTATTATGGAGTGTATTTGTCTTGTAAAGAAGTGTTTCAAGAATATCTTCTTGCTCTTCATCTGCTGATGAAGCAAGTAGATCAATATCAACTCTTATAATTGTTATTGGGATTAAAGTATCTTCTGTTGAGGTTTTTTTTTGTATAGCCTTTAAGAACTTTATCAAGTTTTTAATATCATTAAGTGTATACAGTACAAATCTGAACTGCATGTGTTTGTAGAGGCTGCATCTTAGGAAGAATTTCCTTGTTGCTTTGCTAAGTTTAAACAAAGACACTCATGGTATTTTGGATTTGCCAAATACAATAGTAGCTACTTGGAGGATTTCCTGCCATTTCATTGAAATCCCTATGCTCAAATACGGGATAACAGAATGACACTCAATGATGCTTCCGAAGTAAGTTGACATACTCGCAAGTACTCCTATTTTGTTAAAAATCTCAGTGGAATTGCTGCTGGATTCCATTTCAATTATATAATAAACACCTGGGGTTTTGGGGTTTTGGGGTTTTGGGG